TATATTCATATTTTCTTAAGAGACTTTGACTTAAATGAAAAGCTGAAAGCAATTAGCTTAAAGGCTACTTACTGAACTTACTCCACCCCATTCCCCACCCATGTTTCTGGGGTTGCTGCAGGATTGACTCAGCAACAAAAAGTGGCTCCTTCTTTCCAATGTTTTCCTTTCCCTATTTTCCCCCCAAGGTGTATCAGTTGTCTTAGAGACAAGTCACTGTGGCTGTTGACATAAGGTCCAGGCCAAAAGCAGGGATTGCAGTGCTATAAAGTTTTGGGGATGTGATAACATTTGGGGGAACAGTGGGAAGAAAAAGTTGGTATGTAATATGAAGGAATATACACATATATACATATACACATATGTGTGTGTATATAGATGGATAGATGTGTATATACGTGTATATATAGATACATATATCTACACATACACATGTGTGTATGTATATATATGTGTGTGTGCATGTGTGTGTGTGTACATATATATATATAGCCTCAATTCCCTTCCCTCCCCATCCCCAGAAGTGTTATTTCCGTACCTGGTTCCCAGGGCAGTTCTTTTCCTTGACAGATGTTCTTCTGTAAATGACCTTTAAGAAAGGTCTTTAAACCTTTCCTGGAGTCACATGTAAGGCAGGAGAATAAAGGTCAGGCTTGCAAGTGTGAACTTCATATGCAAGAATGATGAGAATTAGGCATTCAGTAGATATGTGGATACTACCCAATGATCTAATCAGGGATTGGGGGGAGATACAAGCACCATGCTCTACTTTGCACTCAGTACATATGTATTGAGCATCTACTGGGCAAACAATCCATTTGCTTCTGAACAATATAATTGTTCTCCAAGAGAAAATGTGATGATGGATCACGATTTTACCACTTTGGTGCCAAATTCCTCACCTTCTTAGATTCCCCAGGATGGTTCTGTGACATTTATCTGATGTTGATGATTCTAGATATTGCCTAAGTGTTCACTGAGAGATCTGCTACAGTGCAAGACTCAAACAGTGAAGAGACAGTAGGTATCACCCTCAGTTACACTAAACTAGACAGGTGTGGCATGAATAAGGAGAAAGTGCAGGAAGATGGTCCAGAAAAAGAGCTAAGTTGTCAGGATGACTTTGGTTACATCCAACTCCAGAGGGCATAATATGTTTTATGAGACTGCCTGGAAACTTTGCAACATTGCAGGAAGCCAGGTTGGATCATTTTAAAGAGTAACCAAGGGTATTCTCTTTGGATACCATGGGACAATTTAAATTTGTGCTTATGCTTCTTTGCCAGAATCAAGGCTTGTGAACTTAGAATACCTGCACTTGCTTAGAGAATAGAGATTTTTCTCAGAATATTTTATTCAATCATTAGCTATCTCCTAATCAAGTACCTAGTGAAGGATGGAGAAGTGAGTTAGTTTTGGTAAAAGTGACTGACAGAAACCAATGATACAGAGGAATTAACACATGCTTATTGTTTGCCAAACGGATTGACTTGTCTTTATCTCAGTGACCTTAGTTACCAAGAGCATGGAATTCTAAAAGAAAAGATACTGTTCAATTAGACTAACATGAGACAATTTGTTTTTTGGGGTTTCTTTTGTTTGTTTGTTTTTCCCATCTACTCCAGAAAACAATCTGAGTCTGTGGAGGTTCTGTGACTCAACCAAGTACAAGTGGAAAAAAAAAAAAACAACCTCAGACTCAGAGAAAACATGTCTTCTTTCCTCCCCTCTATGTATAATCAATAATTTAGCTCTGAAAAGCAAACCTACCTTCTGTTTTCTGAAAAGTCAGCACCCTCTATTCCATGCCTCTCCCCTGCTGAGCATAACATTCCCCCATTCCCTTCTCTCTTTTTCTCCCTCTCAACACAAGTGCTCTTTCACATTCCTTCTTCCTCCACCCCATCTCCCTTTATTTCTGTTTCATAACTTACCCTGATTCTCTCTTTGTCAGTTCAGCACGCTTGATAGAATGTGGCCCTAATATGTAAGATCTTGTTTCAGGAAGGAGTTGATAGGGAAGCCTGAGACTTGATAACGTAATACCAAATCAATCCCGACTTCACTGAAAAGAATGTTGCCTTCAAGCCAAGACTATAACACTATGGATGTGCAAGTGACTGTTTCTAAATATTAAGAAAAGAATTGGATGAAACTATCCAGTTGGTAGATAGGAAAAATTTATTCATAAAGCAGAGAAAATATTGTCAAATCATTTTGTGCCAACTTTCTGATATATTTTTATTTTAATAGTGCTTTTAATTTGATGAGCAGAATAAAGGAGGGATTTATTCTAAATTCGGGAAAGGAACCATTCAGTTTCCCTTTTCTGCATCTCAGTTTATGTCATTCCAATACTTGATTGTATCTCCCCCCTCTGTAACATTACCACCTCGGAGGTCTCTGGAGATCTTCCTCAACAAGCGATATTAACCAACCCTCAGACCTCTCAGAAAGGATTGATGTGATATATGTATAAATCAGCCAGCCAATGTATTACTGGTATAGGGCAGGAGAGTCAAGAAAATACAACCTTTTCCTATCTTACTGGCACTATCTTTTCCTCTGTCATTATATTTATTTCTTTGGCAAGACAGTGGGACCTTGGTCCTTAACAGAAAAAGAATCCCATGAGCCTTCAGGACAATTTGCATATGTATGATTGAACATAGGACTATCACCTGAGCAACAGACTTTAATAGTTAACTCTTTTAAACAAACAAACAAACAAAAACAATATTTTGGGGGGCAGCTAGGTGGTACAGTGGATAGAGCACCAGCCCTGGAGTCAGGAGGACCTGAGTTCAAATCCAGCCTCAAACACTTGATACTTACTAAGCTGTGTGACCCTGGGCAAGTCACTTAACCCCATTGCCTAGTCCCCCCCCCAAAAAAACAACAACAACAACAAAAAAAGATATTTACATTTTTATGTGAACTTTATTTCTGAAAATAAATGCCCACTTGTATCATCTATCTACTCCTCTACTCAATAGGCCATCCAGAGTGAGAATGAGAGAAAATGCAGTTAGACAAAACTAGCCAACACATTACTTGAGTATGACAATTCATGCAGTATTTCACACCCATTCCACATTTAACTCTTCAGAAAGAGAGAGGTACATTTTTCTCAACTATTCTTCTGGGCTGTCCTTGGTCATTGATAATTGCACAGGCCTCAGTTTCACTTTTTTTGTGTATTATTTCCATTAATATTATTGTCATTGGATATGTTGCTTTCCTGGTTCTGCTTATTTCATTCTGTATCAATTCATATGTCTTCAAGTGCTTCCCTAGATTCTTCATAGTTATCTTCTCTACAGCACAGTAATGTTCCATTATGTTTATATGGTACATTTTGTTTAGCCATTCCCCAATAATGTGTATCTATTTTGTTCCCACAAAAAGTATAACTATCTCTTTTCACAAAGTGACGATTCGAAACAAATTCTAGCCAAAATTGTAATTTTCTATAGATCTTACCAGTACAAAGCCACTTAGTACCCAGAGGACTTTGGGAAAGTCATTTAGCCTTTTTGGATCCCATTTTTTGCATATGCAAAATGAGGGAATTAAGTGAAATGTTCTCTCAAGATCCTTCCAATTCTAAATTTGATGATCCTGGGTCTCAGAGACCCATAGACTGAACTTTAAGGACTATCTAGTCTAACCCCTTCATTTTACAGATGAGGAAACACATCTAGAAAGGTGAAATAACTCATCAAGGCACCATAGCAATTTAGCAGCAGAATTGGGATAGAACTAGAATCTCCTACTTCCCATTCCAAGGCTTTTTCTGTCAGACCACACAGTACTTGCAGATTACCCAAAATAAGCGTCCCAGATAATAGTTAGGTATGTAGTAATACTTACAGTTTCTCTATAATCTTTAATATTTTGCAAAATGCTTTCTATTCCTCACAGCAGTCCCATGATAGGACATTGCTGTTTGCATATGATGTCACTAGGGCAATGAGTGGTTAAGTGATTTGCCCAAGAATATGCAGCTGGAAGGTAGTAGAATCTAGGTGTTTTGACCCAGGGGTTCGATTTTCTTTCCACTTCACTCTGCTCTAGGAGCAGTTTTGCCTGGAAGAAAAATTTTCTGATCTCGAGAAAAAATGGACCAGTAATCCATATAGTTTAAATGCCCTTAAGTGGTCCCCTGCTGTTTTTTTAAGTGTTTAGGATTATGGGTTAAATAGTAGAATCATCTGAACATATTATCCTAGATTTAGAACTGAAATAGATTACAGGTGATTTAGTGTGTAACCCTCTAATTTTTTTCAGATAAGGAAACTGAAGCATTGAGATTGATCCCCTGAATTTTGATATGTAGCTGGGGATTGTCTTTGGGAGCTGTTAAAAAGGGGTCTAATGTTGGTAGGAAGGTGGTACCTTCCACTGAAGAAGGCTGGATGGCATTTGAGTTTTCTCTCTCCAGACACCTTTGATTGACAGAGACAAGTGACTCTCAGTTAATCCAAAGAGATGGACCTACCAGAGTTCGTTTCAGCTTTTTGTGCTGGGCATTTCTTTTTATTTGATAGTGTTTTCCTTTCTGTCACAGAAATATCTTGTAGCATTTCTACACATGATAAAGGGTTTTCATTCATCTCAGAAGCAAAGTTTGCTTGGTAAATGATTCTTACTTGCATCTGACCCATGTCACCTCTCTCCATGTCTTAACAGATGATGTTAGGAAGCCAGAAAAATTCAACATCTGGTGGTGAGTCTCAGAACTAAGCTAGACCAATCCTCAGACCTTTACTCAAAGTCTTTCTAGTTTGTAAAGCCAACTAGTTCTTGTGATCTCCTTGAATAACCTTTGAAAACTATCACATGAAATTAAAGTAGGATGTAGCCAACCCACTGCCTCCACCACAAGTGACTATTAAATAGGCAGAAAGAGCCCTTGATTTGGAATATGAGGACCAAAGTTGACTTTGTTATTACTTGTATAACTCTGACCAAGTTGTGCAATCTCTTTGGGCCTCTAGGCCTTTTGGGCACATGGGCTGTGACATGCCCAAGGTCACAGAGTTAGTAAAGGTCAGAATCATCTCTTCTGACCTCAAATTGAGTCATCTTTCCACTATATCACAGCTGCTTCTTTGAGAATGAAAGTATTGATTCTCTCCTCCCCTATTACCTTGTTTTTGTCTTTATCTACTTCTTTACATACATGTTGTCTCTCCCTTTAGAATGTTAGACCTTTGACGGCAGGGACAGTTTCACTTTTCTAGTTATATTCCTCAGTACCTGGCAAAAATATTTGGTTGATTGATTGCCCGGAGATCTAATTTGATGATTTTTAGCTGTCATGCCTATTGTGTTTATAATTGTTTAAAAGTTACTTTGCCCCTGGCACTCATCAGATACTCACCAAATATAAATGGATGATGACAGGTTTTGAATATTTGTTTTCAGATTGGAAATCTAACAAATAATAGCCTAGTTTCTTTCGGTAGTTTTTGTCCTGAGAATGAAGGAACTTTAGGAAAATGGCGGATAGCTCTCTCAGGTGACCCCTTCAGTGGCCTGAGGAAGTTAATGTTATTTTCACAGGAGGCTCATTTAGTCCCAAGAGCAAACATATCCAACTCCTTGGAAGAATCTGGTTCACTAGGGACAGCAGTTAAAAGTATGCAGAGGCATATATATATACACCCAACATACATTTATGTTGAATTCTGTACCACACAAGACTATAAATAAACTGCAATATTTGTAACACAGCACACTAGTCTTAAATGTTTTACAGTACCAAAAAATTACATCATGATCTCCATAGCCCTTTATTCAGTTGGATACGTTATCTGGTTTGAGGTAAATAAAATTTCCCTTGAAGATTTTGTTGAGAAAAAACAAGGTGATGTCTTTTCAGAAAATCACATTGGACCAAACACTCAAAATGACTTGGTCAGGTTGTCCTGTAGGTCTATGGGGGTTGGGGGGGGGGGGGGAAGGGCACTGTGGAAAGACTTGTAGGTTTCAGATTTGTTATTTAGCCAATACGTGGTCATGAAAGTGCCTTTTGGTCTTGTGTTCCAGGAATTCTGTATCGCAAGTCCTGTGCATCGTCTGCTGCCTGTCTCATTGCCTCAGCTGGATACCAATCCTTCTGCTCCCCAGGGAAATTGAACTCAGTCTGTATCAGCTGCTGTAAATCCTCACTCTGCAATGGGCCCCGGCCCAAGAAAAGGGGCAGCTCAGCTGCAATGCCAAGGGCAGGGCTCCCCACCACCATTCTTCTCTTGAAACTGGCCTTCTTCTCAGTGCACTGCTGAAATAGAAGGATGCTCCCCTCCCCACCACCCTTCTTTGTCTGGCTCTCTGTCTTCCTTCAACACCCTTGGTTATCTTCTGAAAACGTTTATATAGAAGGACCTCGCTGTTCTTTTTTTCTCTTTGCTTCCTAATGAAAGAGCTCAGTGTAAGAAAAAAAAGAAAAAAGAAAGAGAGAAAATCCCAGAAAGAAACATTTTTGTAACCTATGACTGAATTTTCAATGTGCACTTAAAAGGGGGTGGGGGGTAAGAGATGAGGAATTGGAAATTGTATGTTCCCTTTCTGTTATTAGAAACCAGGTCTACTTTTTCAAAATCAGCACTTAATGACTTTAAGGTGGATAACTTTATTTTAAGTCTCCCAACTTTTTTTCCACAGTGTTTTTGTTTTGTTTTGCTTTGAGGGGTTGTGGGGATGGGAGAGGGTCACTCAATAATGACTGCCTTATTTGGAATTCATACTTCATTTTCCCTCAGGTTGTTCTCTGCACCTAGATGGGGCTCTGGAGCAACCTCCAGTGGTTTGCTTTCTGAGTTGGGCTCTAGTGATTCAAGACTCAATTGCTGAGGCGTAGAGTCAGGCTTGGCCTCACTCTGAAAAGTTTTTAAGAAAACCTTGTGAGTTCTCCTTGTAGAAGCATTGTGCCACGATGAAATGAAGATCAATGGGCGGACAGAGCGACCACTGCTGGCTGTGGAATTCAAATGGGCCCGAAGCAGTTTCTCTTTGTTGGCATGCTCAAGATTCAGGCGACAGCAGAGAACTTGCCTGAACACCTTTCGGAACTGCCGAGATGAGATGTTGTATAGGAGCGGGTTGATGACGGAACTGAGGTAAAAGAAGGTGTCAGCAAAGGGAAGGAGAATCATATATGCTCTGAAATAGGAGCGAGTCCAATCCTGCTTTGGTTTTGCTGCAGCCATGAGCCTTCGAATCTGGTTTGGCATCCAGCATACTGCTAGAGTCACAACAATCAGTCCTGAGTGTGGAAAGGGGAAGAAAGAGAGAGAGTGAGAGAGAGAGAAAGAAAACAGCATGTGAAAAAAATCATAAAATATTTAGTCTCTCAGTTCTGCACTTACCAGCTAGGAAATGGTAGAAATTTTTCAATGTTTTGCTTGACAGATTTTTCTGCCACTAGCCCCCCCCCAAAAAAATTAACACTATTTCATGGCCAGTGTAGTTGGCTATATTAAAAAAAAAACATTAAATGTATAGATGGGGCTTATTTATACCTGTTGATGTCTGTTCATTTTTAAAATGGTTTCATTGATATTTATATCCTTGGAAAACATTTTATGTGGTCTATTAATTTGTTTGTTCTTGTTTTCCTTTTTCTTCCTTTTGAAAATATAGCCATATTAGATTTGGCAATGTCTGTAAAAGACTAGACTTTGTATTTTACAAGATGTAGAGTTGGCATTATTTTTGGCAATCTTCCTCTTAGAATATTTTTAAGTCGAATGAAAGTGTATATAAGAATATATACCCTTTTGATGGGAATGGACATATACTCAGTTATGTTGGATTCCTATTAAATTCAAGTAGAATCAAATTTTTGAATGGCTTATGTCACTAAGAACTCCAAATGAGTACATAGGTGCCATTTAGTGCTCAATACTCACCATCCTCGTGGTTGACATTTTATGGCACATTTTGTGTTTTCACAGCACTTTCCCATTCATTATCTCCCTCTCCCTAGGAGAGGATTTGTTTTAATGGCTAACCCTAAAATCAGTATAACTTGGCTTGGGACTTGAGTCCTTCATAGGTCTTTAACCATGCTTCCTCCCTCTCAGTTCTATTATCTAGAAAAATAATGGACTACCCAGGAAGAGAGAGTATTCATGCAACTATTTATAAATTACAATTATAAAGCACTCTCTCGTATAATCAAAAGCTGTATTTACATCTATACATTCACATATACTCTCAGGGCCCTTATGTATATGACCATTAATAGTTATGCTACTCTGACATAGCTTGAGATGTGATTTACAATATACTTAATGACAAATGTCTTGACTGCTTGTCTAAACTGGATAAGTATTGAAGGAGAAAGCTGAAGACCACTTATCTGCTTTGAGGTCCTTTCTGCCTCTGAGGAGACATTTAGCCATAAGGAGAAGAATCCACGTTGTTATACTACTTCAGGGTTTTCAAAATGCTTTCCTCACATTATCGCATAGCTAGTTCAGGAGCAAAGACCTGAATCTAGATCTCCTAATTCTCCTCTGTACCATGCTGCCCCTCATGAAATGATAATGGAGTCCTAGAGGCAACTCCCATTTTGAAGAAAAGCATTTCATAGAAGTGCTTCATATGATTTTTCACAAAGCTTCTTTCTGTTGTTTTGTTTCTTTGCATTTGGATAACACAAAAAAAGGCAAGATTCCTTATTGCTTTCAAACATACCAATCCACTAACAAGCCATAGGGAAACAATTGCTGCCAATGGTCTCTTCCTGTTTGAGATCAAAAATGAGTATTTTGTATAATGAAAACTGCTCCAGAAGTGAACACGTTTACTAAAGCCAAAATTGGCAATCCCACTTGGGTTTGTCTTGGCCTCTCTTTGCTCGGTAGTAGATGTGCCTTGGGTGGGTTCTCAGTGGTGATTCTGAAATAGCACTCCTCACCCAACAGCCAGTCTTTGGAGAATAAATGAATTCAGATAGGAAAAAAAAAATGAGTCAATGATGACTTTATGTCATAGGTTCCCTGATCATTTTGTGACCATTTTAATTTTTAACAGTTTCTGATGTCAAGATTCAATTCCATTGAGGTGGAAGATGGAGCATCAGGGCTGGACTTAGGAAGATCTGAGTTCAAATCTAGCCTCAGACACTTATTAGATATGTGACCCTGGGCAAGTCACTTAACTTATTTTTACCATTAATTTTGTCATCTGTAAAATGGAGATGATAATAGCACCTACCTCTCAGGACTGTTGTGAGGATTAAGTAAGATAATAATTGTCAAGTGGTTGGCAGAGTGCCTGACACATAGTAAGTGCTATATAAATGCTAGCTTTTATTATAATTTCTTCTCTACATGAGAAGTGTCCCCCAAAACACTCAATAATTCTAAATATAAAACCAGGAAACTTAGTTAAACCATAATGATACGATTTAAAGAAAGAGAATAATGCTCTGAACCGCATAGGCGGATACAGATAATGGACTGAAAAAAAAATCACTTGTTTCTGACTGGGGAGAAAGGTGTATTGCTTACTTAAAAAAAAGATGGCATATAACCACTTTTGAGAAGCACTGGAGTTTCATGTATTCTGTTTATCTTTCAGTTTCTATAAAGTTGCTGTTTCTATCTCAGCATCACTACCTGAAAGATTCAGCTTATTAATTGTGAAGAAGACAGGAGGCTTGCCTTCTTGAAACAGAAGGTACATTCCTTGAAAAAGTAGGTTCTTTTCCTCAATCATTGAATTTCAGGGCCCACACACAACCATCTTCATCTAATGACTGATTTCCCGGAATATGAAAAATCGAATACATGGTTTTAGTGTGTTGCGCTACATTGTGGGTAGTTGTGCAGTCCAGGAAATGGAAATCCAAGGGGGAAAAAATGAGAGCAGGGATGAGTTACACATAACACAGCATTTTAAAGCTAAGGAAAAGGAACTCTCAGACTAGTAGAAGAAAACAGTTGTGGGGCAAGGTCAGAGAATGAAGAAGGTTATTTTATTTCAGTATTAACTACTATTTTTTGTTTTCTTGGGCTTTTTTACAAGTCCCTTTTTGAATGGGCAAGGCTATTGTCCTTGACTGGTGATCACTCTACCATCAAAGACCAGTTTTTAGGATGGGCTGCTAGCATTTGGGTTTCTTCCCTTTGGACTACTTTCAAGCTCAAACCTCCACCACCACCATTACACCCTTAAACTTGGCCATACATACACACATAATACATGGCACTAATCATTAGTTATACATCAAAAGACATTATCAAAAAAGACCTTGGCTTCAGTCACTTAACCTCTTGTTCTCTCAGTCTCTTCCTCTCTAAAAGGAAGGGATTGGATGACCTCTAACATCCTTTCTCAATCCTATGATCCTGTGACCAGGAGGACCTAAAAGAAGGTCCTTCCATAGTCTAAAGATTTCCACCCACCATTCTTGTAGCTTTACTCTGTAGGACTTGGCATTAAGAGAATAAGTTTATCCTATGTTTTCATATGAAGATACATTAGGTGACTCCAGATCTGAGGCCAAAGCACATAAGCACAAGATTTGGGTTGTGTTGTTTTGTATTCTTGTGAATCCCTGGTTATATCAAAAGAACCTATCTGCACTTGAACCAGTTGGCAAAGATGTAAATTAGTAACCTCACTTGTATTTTCAAGAGTATTTTTTTTTCAAGGAAAACTAAGCATTAAGTATACAGGTATAGTCCATGACAAATATGAGACATGTGCCCTTGGGCCGTGTGATGAAGGTTAGTGTTTCAGGGAAAAACTTAGCCCCTCTTTATGAAGAATTTGTCATTGTTATAAAGACAAGTAATTGCTCGGTTTTATGCATTGAAACAATAGACATTATTTTCTGTGCCATGCAGTTTTATGAATGAGTACCATGGTCACAGTCAGCCATGCAGCTCTGAGGCAAAGCTGTATAGTCTTGTTCATGCTTTAATATAGCATATTAAAGATTTTGGTAAATTTGTGTTGAAATGCAATCAATTTGGACTTGTATATTACCTTTGGAAAATCTATAAAGTGTTGGTCTGTGTTATATAATGTGTAAAATACACTAAACTTTAGGGTGAACTTGAATGAAGATCAGAGAGCCAAACTTACTCATGGAAAACAGGTAAACTATTTGAACACAATCATCGATAAACATGTATTGTATTCCAAACAACCTTGTACTCTGAGTTCAGAAATACCTTTGCTTCTTAGCTGTTTTTCTGCATTAACTACTTTCGTTTTTTCATCCTTCATCAGCACACTAAAATGATAAGGGCTATTAGAGGATAAGACAGATTTACTCTCAATGGAATAATGTTGTTTAAAAAACAGAAGTAATGCCGATGTCCGACAACCTACTTCAATGAAGCTTGAAATTTCGACAACATTAGAATCCATCTACTTGGTTTAATCTTCAAAAGTGCATTAAGCTATTCAATCCGACACTTGGTGGCATTGATATATATCTCACTCTATACTTGTGTTTTTTTCCTCCCGTCTTATAAGTGAGGACAAGTGTTTGTAGTTTCCTTTAATTCAACTGAGAATCAAAGGATGTTAGGGTGGTTAATGAGCCTTAGAGGGTTTAATCTTACTCCTGAATTTACAGATGAGGAAAATGAGGCCCATGGAGGTGACATGATATAAGTCACAGACTTAGTTGGTGGCAGAATCAGTCACAGACCTCACCTCTCTTGACTCTCATAAATCCATTGCTAATTCCATTACACAATGCTGTCCCTATATTTTTGGTTCTAATCTCAGATTGACAGCAGGCTGCAGGATGAACCCCCTTCTTAACCTCTTTTGGAAATAGAGACAATAATTTCCAACTTTCCCCTCCTTGAAGTATCAGTGTAGCCTTGGGAAAACATTTTGCATTGAAGTAGTGAATTACTGATGTCCTCCCAATACTTTCTAATGATCAGTTGCCCTTAGTTTGTACCTTATTGAGAAAGACCTGCTGGGATGAGTCAAGTTATATTTAGAGTCCGATGTGTATATAAGGGCTTGGACCACTTCTATTGCAACATGCTGTATAAACCCAAAGTACATAATTGTTTTTCAGAAGACTTGCAGAACCAGAGTCATATTTGGGTTATTGACTTCTTGTAAACAGTAACAACAGATCTGAAGAATATTAGTCTAAGGAGGTAACTCCCAATCAAATGTTAATCTGATGACCTGAAAAGATTTGGCAGTCCCATGATTTCTTTCTAAGAAAATTCTCTTTGTATGACTCAAAAGGCTCCAAGGTATTGGGTTTTTTTTTTA